CATCAAACCGCAGTTCATCCATGCCTCGCCACCTGCCATTTGCTGTCACTGCAGTTCAACGAACTCGTATTGAAACAATGTCAATCTTCCACAGTTATGCATGCGAATCGTCTGGCCATTTTACCTTCCCTAAAGTCCGTTTTAAATCCCGGGCAGGTTGTATAGAACAGAAAGATTCATAGTCCTATGCGGATAATGTGCTAATTTTTCCCAAATACCAAAGTACTGCGAGAAATACGACGGGGAAAAAGCTTGGTCCAGCATTCAAATTAGCACCTACCATTGGCCTTTGGTTACCACAGCCATCAGATAACGAGAAAGCTGTTGTTGGCGGCACACGAAGTATATATCCTCAAAAGTGTAGGAGTCTCTGCGTCGACGCATGTAAATATGGGTCGAGTTAATCTTCACCTGTAACATAAAAGAGCATTAGACTCTCCGGCAAAGAAGAACAGTAAAATGCCTATGCTGGTGTTACAATGAAACATTTTCCTCACTTAAACGATACTAAAACACACAAAAGAACAAGGATGAATGGAGAAGAATGCGCTTTCCGGACATGAGTTTAACACTTTCAAAAAATCATTGGTCATATTTACTGCCATCACCTTCTAGTGGAAAGTCTACGTTGTCGCTTTCGGAACTTAGTAACAGAGTCATAGTCTGTGTAGGAACTAGGAACTAAGATGGTAGGCAGTAGGGGTAAATCAGTCAGTTTCTGAGACTGGAATATCGCACCTTCTGTGTAAACTGTCTCACACTTTAAAAAAATTGGCTTCATGAACAATATTATGATGACAAATACTCCGACTGCTACTTCTCACACTACTGCACTCACTATCTTATGAAACAGGGACGTCTAATCTAAGTCTCTTCTCTTTAAGCTACAGACAACTACGGGAAGACCTGAGGCTCACACTCCGGAGTGATGGAGATTACATTGAACTGGCAACAACAACAACAACAACGAACTTGATAGGTCATCCACAGCAGGGTGGTCGAAGCTTGAAATGCTCTACCCCTGCATCTGAATGTGCTTATGTCTGCATCCTTAGAGGTTTTTAATGCGCTCTAAGATACCACCCGCTCGATATCATCCTGACGCCCGTAAAGGCATAATTTTTCAACAAATTGCTATATTCCAGTAAAATTTGGCTATATAATAATTTATTACACGCAAAACATCGCTTAAGCTTTCTCAGCATCGCACTCAGACCGCATGAGAACTGCGATTATTTCGTCGGCGATCGCATCTACTTTGTGGACATAAACGCTCTCCGTCGTGTCGGTTGACTCTGCAATCAGCAAGGAATTACCTGGTCGCATCTTGCCACCTCGGTGATAATGTACGTTGCCTCTAAGAGCCCACCTCGTTGCGACTTAGCGTACTGCCCTCCCATGAGCAAAAGTTTTTTCGCCTGAAAAAATCCAACCAGTCTTTTTCACAACCTGCTCCCTTTTCTTTTGCTCCACTTTATTAGCTCATGTCATTTGGCATCACAAAAAGGCTGTGCTACTATTTTTTGATATCACAAAATTCATCTAAACAAATAGGGAGTTCAAAGTGACACAGTTCAATTTTCCTCAAGTAAACTTTACTAAAGTATCAATGTATTATTTATTCTCTTTTGCCTCTTTCGTAACGCAGTGATTATCCACCCACAAACGCTCGTTTTACTCAGAGTTGCAAAATGTGACTATACTACTGAGTCCAAAAAAGTCAGTCTTCCACAAGGACTCAGTCGTCCGAAGCCCATATATTATTTTATCAAAGCCAGATACTGGCCTAAGCGCTTTTCTGCAACATCGAGACCTCAAATGAAAGCAATTATTCTGCTTTTTTCCATGATCCTGCAAGAATTTAGCATAAAAATGCCATGGATGCAAATGAAATTAGTCTGAAGCAGGAAAATCGAGTTTTAATTGGGAAGACAAAAATTGAGCAATAAGACAACAAACCGAGGTTTGATATTCACTCGGGTAGAACCAGTCGCCGCTGATGTTGGTTGGAAGTTTACAACTAGGTTGCATTTCGATAAGCTGTGTTGCTGTATCGAAAGCTGGCTCGAGAACCAAACGAATTGGTGCGCTGAAGTAGTCTTTAAGGTTTTTGCAGTCCGCATCCACAGTCATACCTGTACGATAGGAAGGTCAAATTGAAATAAGTGACTTGGAAAACGAAAATTCTCATGTGATTAGAAGTAACTTAGGGCGCGGTTTCTGACAGGTGACTTCTAAAACTTAGGAAACTTTAAAAACTAATTTCACCATAAGCTGTCGACTCCGAAGCAAATGGTGAAAAAAGATTCCACAGAGTTTAAACGATATGTCGCTCAATTTTCTTTTTTACATAACAACGCTGTATTTTTAAAGGTGACCAATTTTGAATATAGTTGCTTACAAAATTTCAAGGTATCAAGAGTCGGGGAATTATAGGGCTTCACTATTACCACACTTGAAAATCGACAAAAACCAATAGAACTGTCGCGAAGAGGAAAGCATGGTAAACTCGCGCATTGCGGTTTTTAATTATAGAGAACAAAAAGACTTCTTGCTTGAAACACCAGAATGTTTGACCAAAATATATCGAATCCAGAACTCACTTGCTTATTTAATGTCACCCTTGCACTTGCCATAGCACTTTTAAACGAAAACATGGATAAATCAAAATCTATTATCCTGTCTTAATGCAAAATTGATTCACAGCTTCATAATAACACGTTTTCTACAAAGGAAAACGCAAACCAAACTATATTTTCCACCGTTAGCATGCTCATTTTTACAGCTTTGAATCATACAGACGGGGTGCTCCCAGCTTTTGTATTTAAAAGCAATAAGTAGATGAACATGTAACTAGCAGCACTTTTAAAGTGTCCGCTACATTTAAACTTGACAATTAACATTCATCACAGAAGTATACATTAGAACATACCCCACTGTATAATATCTTGTCGATTCTGTTGGTCTATTCTTGTGGTAAGACAGCGGTACTTAAATTTGAGCATGTTAGTATCGTATTCAACAGCGGCCCACACTGTACCCTCATCATCAACCCATCTTGCGTAGCATCGCCACAAAGTGGCTTTTCCGTAAACAATATTTGGTTCCTCTAGAACCGACTTTTCCAGGAAATTTGGGCAGTATCCAAATGTTTGTTCATAAACTGAATTGTCTCGCAGAGGGGAGCCCTGGCGCTGGCAAGCCTTCAGAATGCTATTCGGACTTCTACACATTCCTGTACTGCCAACAATGCGATATTCGAATGAATATACGCCTTCGATTATACTCTTGCAGTTGAAGTCTGAGTAATCTTGTCTCGCCTTCACAAAGCCAGTTTCAAGTTCAACACCCGTAATCAGGTCACATATGGACGACGTTGGAGCACCCGATTGGATTGGTTGACATTGGCCTGAACAAAATTAATAAGACAGGCACATACTTCGTCGATACTGAATGACATTCTCACTACGAGATATAAGTTCATAGCAAAAATAGCAATCATTTGTTCTTGAATTGGATAGTTAAGCAAATATCGTACTTGTTTTTATACACGATTTTCATCGAGTCTATTTTCGCAGTTTCCATTGTTGTGATATTCAAAATTTGATAGCAGGTACCATCAAGCCTGCCGACATCTTGCATGATTTCTGATGCCATTATATGCGTGGTCGTTTCCCGTCCATTTTCTATGCTGTAAAAAGTTTTCTGATACTGTCGAAAGACGGCGCATGTTTGGTTGACAACCGCTTTGCTTTGCGACACAAGAAACCAGATAAAAATGCTGGCAATCAACAGCGAATGTCTGGTAAGCATTTCCCGTGTAGGTCCGAATTTCAAAAAGGCGCTATTTATTATACCTCAAATTAAAGAAGTTTTACCACCACATAACTGCGCCGGTTTGTCTGCGAGACTATTAAGTTTGACTGTTGAATAAACGATGAAGAAATATTAAAAAACGAGTGAAATGTTTCTAAAAATGGGACTGCAGGATATATGGTCACACTGAAATGTAAAACAAAACCTTTGCTCGAAATGCAAATGCCGGTACTTAACAGATGAATCGGTCGTTTGAATGGACTATAGACTTTTTGAATGTGTGAAGATCATACAGTTTTCAAAAGCGTCCTCAAATTCTTGTGACTAAATCGGACACTTGGGCGTGCTGAGTGATCAGTGATTGCAGCAGATTAGACAGTGTTTTTCGATAGTTCGCAGACGACGTGGGGACAGGAGATAAATTCCAGATGTTCATGATCAAATCCGCAGCCTTCAGAGCGACGGATTATCGCTCGACAGCGCGTGTGAATATTATAAACAAGTGCTGTGCACTGAACTTAGTATTGATATTGAATAAATCGAGGAATTCAAATCCGACAGCAATAATGCCATATCCACACATCGACAGTCGATTTTGACGATTTCTCCTACCATACAAACTTAAATGAGATGAAGAACTGAGAAATGTGTATGATATTGAATAAGTCTGAAAAAAGACCGCCGGACGAAATGAATACACTCAAACCCAGAGCAAGTCATAGCATTAAACGAAATAATGGCTTACATTTTCGCATGCATGGGAAAGTCCAAACAAATCTTGAAAACGGAAACAAGAAGGCCCACACAGAAAAAGCATAAAATTCGCTTTCCACACACATATATATTTGATGAAAATAAAGAAGATCTTCGGAAAAATTTATTTGTACTCCTGAATTTTTTGAACATGTATCACTTGTTCGGCGTCAAGCTAAATGAAAAGTGAGGTCTGGGAATGTCGCACTAGAGGTTTTGGGGGCAGGAGTTAAAACGAACGGGTGGGATTGGGTGGGTGGGTTACGGTGACGTGACTCCTGTGGTGATAGGTTGCGCTGGTGAGAGGAGGGAGGTGTTAACGTTTGGATTGTGGACCACGTGTTCGGGGGAGAGGGGAGGGGGTACAGAGTCACTTAAATTCTACTTGACCGAGCACCGACAGTCTGCCGTTGTGTCAGGCTGGGCGCAGGTTAGTGGACCATGCGTGATAACCGGCATAGTGTGAATCAAGCTCTACGTATCTGTTAATACTGGCCGGGCCCGAGTGCCAAGCTTCGATAAATTCTCTCGCTTGCCCCATATTAGCCATGGCAATCACCTCGGTAACATCCCAATTGAATCGGTGATCACACTCGAGGGAGTGCGCAAATATGAGTGATAAAGTGCCCCATCTGCGAACGGCTAACTTATGTTCCCTGATGAGAGTCTCAATATGTCGTGTTGATTGTATTGACCGTATTCTTCTTCTCTTGAAACGTCTCTGTCGGAACACGTGGTAAACTTCTGAATTTAATATCTTCGTAACTTTGCTCTTGAACACAAACAGTTAAAACTAACAATGTTATTCCCAAGCCGACACACGTTACACGTGGACTTAGTGGTAGTTTGATTGGCCTGCTATCATTTTGACTTTGAATCAATTATTTATATCAAATGAAAAAGCCCTTATGTACACCGATTATTTAAAATTTGCCGTTAGATATGATCTGGGAGATTGCAATATCGAATAAATTTCAGGCCTTCACGCACGAGTACTACACATGACGATTTTTCCCTTTTTTGGCATACATATTCGGTTATGGTTGTTGGCAATGATTATGCGGCCGCGGTATTAATTTACCCAAAATTAGTAAGAATCTCAGCATACTGTTTTCCAAGTGTCTAAATATTTCTGAAAATTGCGGTTTGAATGTCTCCACAGGCCACTGACATACCGGGGTTATCCTCCTAACTTTTAAAAATAGCGATATTAGAACACGCCGTTATAGAATTAACGTTAAGCCTGGCCCGGAATACCGCTTGTTTCTATTTAGCCTTCCACGCACTATGACGTACAAGAAAATAAAATCCATCTGGTATTTTTCTCTAAAATGGTTCAGAATATGGAACTCCGTCATGTGACATACCAACGGCGTTGTAGACTTACCAGACTTGATCATTTTTAGCGAATTACAAAATAGACTTTTAACTGTTTCATCATTTAAACAGTGGTACTTGTAGTTCCCTTACTATTCTATAGCATCTTGGCAGTACTTAACGCAAACGTCACGTAACATCTTTTTATTTCTTCCGCTGGCACGCACTGTTAAGTCCCTGCAAAATGGTGGTTTTTGAGCGAACTATCATTCGTTTTCTGCATTAAACACTGTTTTCACGAAATTTTAGATGCCAACTCTTTAGAATTAATCTTCCGGAATGATTGAGTTCGTGGTGCCTGACCCATGTGCCAGGTTTATACTTCAGTCTTCAGCCTGCAACCAATAAATGTTTCAGTCAATAGCGAATAAATATTCAGCCATGCACCCTTTGTCGGGTATATAATTTCCGATTAATGAAAGGGAAAATAAACATTGCACCTTCTCCAACAGGTCCCTGTTCCGAAATGCCGTCACGCAACAGGCTGTAGTTTTTTCTGCTGAATAACCCCATTCACACAGAACACGAGTAACTACACTTTATACTTCTGTCTTGATCCGTCGTGTATATTTATTTTGAAATTTGCTGAAAACGGGAAGGAACTACAATTAGTATTAGTTACCGCGATTCTCAAACAAAAATATAACGACGTCCTGAGTTCTTTGATATGCGGTTTATTTCTGGACAGGATTTCGAAAATCCAACTGTTCACTCAGATTTCCCAAGCCACAATCCACCTCATGGCTACTGTTAATCAAGTGAAAATAAGAAGCCCTGTTCATACTTTTAACTGCACTCTAATCCATAGGCTTTAATTGTTATATATTTAATGAGAAGCCTTGGTAAGCTGGCTGGTCAAGTGACAAGAATTATATGGTCCCGATTACCTTCAGAGACTTACGATGGGTCGAATTGTCATGCTTCTTCATGACGCGTGAACACTAAACCCAGGCACGAAAGAGCCTGCTTGGGGCAAAAATTCGTTGCAAACTAGTATATTTATTTAATCTTCCCGCAATAATGCGGATGGCCTGGTAGACATGGAATATGCGCCAGTATTTTGCAATAATTGCAAGCAGAATTTGAGCGGGGATTTATATATTTGTTTATTATGCCAGTTTACAGGCT